AAACAATGGAAAAAGCAAGGTACTCTTGTACATGCTTCTTCCAAAGGTGGTTACAGTGTGTAGATGAAACGCTTTTCCCTCCATTAAAGAATTTGGATATGATAGTTCAAATGAATCCAAATCCACATTGTATTAACTGCTATGAAATGAGAACTTCCCCACAGTCTTACACTATGACAAGAGTATAGTTTCTAGAATTACTGCCTCATGAGTTTTAGATTCCCTGAAAGTATAAAGTATTGGTCTCCTAAATATTGGGACTGTACACTCCTACAAGGCATGGAAACTTTGGTATGGAAACAACAGTTGGAGAAAGCGTTGGAAGGGATGGTTGTTTCTCTAACACACACCTTACAGGAGGGGAATGAGGTTGCAGATGCTTTAGCAGACCTTGCTTGTGATATCCAAGACAGTACATACTTTAATAACTTAGATGGTCTTCCTGTTCATATTCAAAAGTTAATTTTTTATGATGGTTCAGGGATATCTGTTTTCTGTGAATAGGATAGTTTATCTTTCATGGATTTTTTAAATTGAATATGACAAAATATTGGTTAGGTTTGATAAATCGGTGTACAGATTTTCTAGAGGGTTAAGGTTTCTACAACCCTCTCCCTCATAGGATGATTATTTTTTGCTGATTATTAATAAAATTTTCAGTGGACACCCTCCACTAGGAGTAAAAAAGGGCATTGTGATACTTCATTCCTTTCCCTTTTGCATGTGTGTAATCTATGACATCTATATGTATTTTTAGGCTAACTCATCTAGTTTCTTTGTGTTCTGAAATGCAGGAGAACAACCACTAGGTAGATTATTGACAACTCCTACAATGGATCTTTCATAGCCATTCTCATTGTGACTGTTCAGACTGTTAAAATTAGGTTGACTTGCCTATGGCTTGACCTTGGTACCTTTCTGTTGAGATTGTTAGGGGCAACAGTAACTTTTTCATTTCATGCTCTTTTGTATTTGGACGCCCATGTGAAGGCTTACTTGTAATTTCTCTCTAAATTATAAACCACAAGTTTGAGAGAGTGAACAGTAACTCTCTTCTTCATTCAAACCTTCTTTCTCTCTTCTCTTCTTCTTCTTCTTGTTTTCTTTCTCAACAAAACCATAGATATTGCAAGTTGGTATCAAGGCAACTATAAGTTCTTGGGAAAGTCTTTCTCTACTGTTTTTTTCTTGGAGGATGAGCTACTAACATTAGACTGTCATCGGATGACATCAGCAGTCCATACAGGTGACGGTGGCAATCTCTAAAAATTGTATGGTTTGATTCGCCCTGGTCTTAGATGAACTTTGGTATATCTCTCATTGCTTTTTGATGCCTCTATGATCTATTATAGATTTTTCAAGTGGAAAATCACAGAAATTCCAAATCTGGTTTAGAAGCTTGCTTCTCTTGATTGATGGGCTTTTATCCTACAAAACCTAGTTCTTCTAGGTTGTTTTATATTTTGGGAGTGATAGGAAGTGATCCTGTACTTTTCTGAGCACTAAAAAATTTTTGGGAGTTTTTTTCTCCCTCTATTTTACCGCCAGCCAGCTTTTTGGCCCCTTTTCTAGCCTTCAACCAAGTTTGAGCCTTTTATTTTGGGGTTTGTTTGTATTCTAGTTGGATGTTGGGGTGCTCCTTGGTTGTTGAGAAAGTTGTTTGTGAGGTATGAAATCACCAAAGGTTGCACAAATTGGTTCCAATGTGTTTCCTGGAAATGTTGATGTCTCTAGTGGTATGATAACCACTGTAAAACTTGATAGGACCAACTTTTTGGAGTGGCCCCAATCAGATAAACTTACTATCACATGGAGAGGTAAGTTAGGATTATTCATTAAAGGCAAGGAGATGAAGCCGAAAATTGAAGACCCTAAGTTTGCAAAGTGGGAACAGGATAACTCATGTTGCTAGAGTATATCATCTTAAGAGAGGAGCTTGTAGTATGCACCAAGGGGAGAGAACAATGACTATGTATTTCTCCTCTCTAAAGTTTCTTTGGAAAGAAATGAACCACTTGAAAGCTCTTGAATTGAAGGATCCCATAGATGTTCATCAATTCAAGTACATTGAGGAGAACAGGTTCTTTGACTTTTTGGCTGGCCTGAATCCTAAGTTTGATTTCACTACGTAAAGTATTCTGAGTGTGGGTGTTGTCTCTCTAGGTACTACTTACTTTCTTATTTAAGGGGAAGAAAGTAGATGGGCAGCCATTACGCAACCCTCTATGATTGAGCACTTTGCTTTTATGTCCTCTAAGCCCAAGCCAAGTTGTAGGTAGTAAGCATCCTACAATTGAGAAGACTAATGATGTCATCTATGAATATTGCAAGGAACCAAGACATACTAAAGAAAGATGTTGGAAATTCAATCCTCACTTGAAACCGAACAAGTTTAAAACTGGAAAGTAAGGCAATGCTCATTTGGCCATAGTTGGTAATGAGGGTTAGTCTTCTGATGTGACCATTCCCTCCCATGACTCCTATGACATGAAGGATAAACTTTGGAGTCTTCTATTGCACTTGGAAAAGAGTGGGACATCATCCTTATCTAGCTCTAGTAATCCATCTAGTGCATGTGCTAACACAGGTACTGCACTTGCTTGTTCCACATCCTCCAATCCATGGATTGTTTATTCTGGGACTAGTACCCATATGACTATTATGCCTTCACATTTTACTTCATATAAGTTAACTCCTGGGAAGGGTAAGATCACTATTACAGGTGGATCTCAAACCCCTATCTTGGGGTCAGGGAGAAGTCAAACTTAGCCATAACCTTTCCCTTGGATTTATTCTTCATGTTCCTCAATTGCATAAAAACTTGTTATTTGTCATTTCTCTTACCAAGTCCCATAATTGCTCTGTAACCTTTTTTCCTACCCACTGTGTTTTTCAAGATCTGGTCACAAGGAAGATGATTGAAAGTGGGCATGAAGTCGATGGAGTTTACCTTCTTTATGAAGCTTCAAAATATGGATTGTTGAGCTAGGATGAGTCTTGTTCCAATGAGAAATTGAATCTTTTGCAATGGTGCCACTATCATCTTGGTCATATGTCCTTAAGTCTGTAAAACTTTTGTTTCTAAATTTGTTCAATTTAGTTTCCAACTTGAATCCTCAATGTGAAGTTTGTCATTTATCCAACAATGTAAAACCACATATTTTGCGAGTAATAGATGAAGTAATGTTGCTTTCCATTTTATTCATACTGATGTTTGAGGGCCATATATCATTCCTTGCATGGGTGAGTATACATACTTTATTCTCTTCATCGATGGCTACACTCAATATACATGGCTTTACTTGATGAAACATTGTGATGAAATTCCTATTATTGTTCAAAATTTCAAGAATATAGTGGAAACCCAATTTGAGAAAAGAATTAAGATAACAAGATCTGACAATACAAAGTACTTTGAAAATCATCTTTGTGTGTTTCTTAAAGACAGGGCACTATTCACCAAATCTCATGAAGTTGTACTCCACAGCAGAATGGGGTTGTTGAGAGGAAGAATATGCATGTGGTTGAAGTTGCTTGTGGGTTATTGTTCTAGAGTCATGTTCCTACTTGCTTTTGGGGAGATGTTGTCAAGACTATTGTGTATCTTATTAACCGGCAGCCATCAAGAGTGTTAAGCCTTCAATCCCCTCATCAACTTCTTCCTAATGAACCCACCTTCAATTCACCTCTTAGAGTCTTCAGGTATGTCTATTTTGTTCATGATATGAATCCTTCGAGACATAAGTTTGACCTTAAGTCTATTAAATGTGTTTTCCTTGGTCACTCTCTTGTCTAGAAAAGCTATAGATGTTTTGATCCTCATTTTAGTCGGAGGTATATTTCTAAGGATGTTACCTTCCTTGAGTGCTCATCCTTTTTTCAATCATCATGTCCTCTCAAGGGGAGATTGACTGTCATTTCATTCATGATCAATTTATGGCGGAAAACATCACCCTTCCACATATCTCCTTTGAGCTGTAATTTGCTAATATCTTCACTAAATCCATAACCCATGCACACCAAGACTTCCTTGTGGGAAAATTGATGTTTTCCCCACATCAATTTGAAGGGGAGTTTAGATAAGGTTGTATGCTATGCATTTATTTTACTTTATTTTATTTCCCTTGTGTGATGGGCCTTATGGTCTTTATGTAGGTTGTTTTTATTCTTTGCCCACTAATAAGAGGCATTTATGTAATTGTATATAACTAGCTCCTCAAGGGTGGGGGCACTAATTTGATACACCCTCCCAAGCTCTTCTTCTTCCTAGTTGAATGCATGAAACCCTAGAAGGGTAACATAAAAAGTCTGATTAAAATATATTAACTTTGTTGGAGAAAGTCAAAAACCATCATCAAGTACTATCACTAATTATAAAAACCTTGTGGCCTACCAAAAAAAATCTCCAAGACGTGTGGAAACATGGCCCTTTGGACTAATCATTTTATGAAGGACACAAGTTACTAGTGATAAATAATAATTTGACCACTTAATATCAAGGGTATTTATATTTGAGGAAGAAATATTCATAACAGCTAATGATGACCAAATTGGGAAAAAATCATATACATCCCAGCAAATATTTCGTTATTCTTGTTGAGAGATGGCTTTGTACCCAAGGATGTTTTTGTCTGAAATTAATCTAGCAATGGGCAGCTTTAATTAAGGGCAGAATTGTAATTTGTATTTTGTAGTCCCTCATATAAATGCAAATAAAAGAGTCATGAAATCAGGTTAAGAAAACACACATTTACACAACTCTTTTCCCTCTTTTTCTTAGTTTTATCTTCTTCTCACTTTATTTTACATTTTTTTTCCTTGGAGCCACATGCTTAAAATCTCAAGTATTCTCCAAACCAGAAGAAACTTGGCTGTCTGGATGTTTGAGGCCATTTTCATTTTTTTCTGAGCATCAGAAACTTCTAATAATACTTTGACCACTTAATATCAAAGGACAATTTATATCTTAAGAAAAATTTCATAACCAATAATCCCACTACCTTTGGACGGAAGTACAATGGCAGATCCATGAAAATTGCGTAGTTCTCTGTGATGGCAAAGTCATGCATCATGACAGGATCTGATATTGTTATTGGTACTGGATCATGCATGAAACCATCCTTCGAAATGACTCGGTAAGTGACATATGGTGGATCGTGTGAATAACCAAAGGTATACATCTCTCCTGTATGCAAGGTTGCTAAAAATCAAAATGAAATTATCATATCATATGTCCAAAATATATTTGTTATTTGAGGATAGGTCTTACCAGTAAATGGATCAACCTTTGGATGAGCAGTGAATGAGTGTGCCAATCGCTTGTCATAGTCCAACATTCCAAGGGTTTGCAAATCTCCATCCTCCAAAACTTTAATGGCGTCTGCAGGATACAAAAGAGAATTTTTTTTAATTGTATACTTTAAATCAATTAAAAAGCACTGACAAGATGGATGTAGTCTATATTTTGACAAACTTATTGCTGACAGTTCAGAATCAACTATTACATGAACTCAAAAGCCTAAATTTTTTGGTAGTTGTTACATTAACATAGAAGTGGAAACTATATGAAAAATATTGTTCTTTATTGACTGTGACTACCCATATGACACTCTGTGTGGAGGAGCATATTCATGTATGCATAATGAGAGAAATGAAAAGAAATGCAGAGAGAGAGAGAGAGAGAGATAAGAATTTCATTCCAAATGCTAGTACAGACTACAGAGCAAGAGTGATAGGATTTTTTATCTGAAAAAGAAAAGGAGGAAAAGAAGACTTACAAGGTTTATCTGCCTCTGAAAGAGCCAAAAGTTTACCATGGTGATATATGAGAGCAGTATTAGCTGGCCAAGGAAACAATAGTTCAGTTCCAGAACTATCATTCTTAAACTCATATAAAGAATACATGTCACTTGTGGAGTTACAACAGTATAACTGTAGTAATTATATGATATGATCATTCTACATAAAAGGACGCACAGAGGGCACAAAATGGTAAGTACAGTTACCCAGTACCACCCATGTGGCCAACAGACTTACCTGTGCCATTTCCATAAGAAACATCCAATACTTTCAGTTTATTTCGAAGAAGTTGGATATTAACCATAAGTAAACCAAACAGTCCCTTGAGGTCTCCAATCTACAGACGACAAAAAACAAACATCAAGTTCATAGGATCTTCAGAACGTGCGACATGAAGGTGCAGTTAGCAGTTAGCAGTTAGTTGAGATTATGGTTAGTAGATTGTTCAACACATAAAACTCTCTTTTCCACTACTGGCATCCAATCAATCAGAGAACAGATGACATGGACAAATAAAAGATGGTGGCAAGAATATAAAGGATTAAGTTGTTGAGGAATGCATTTTACATAATCTAACTACAGCAACAAGAGACTATAGGTAAAGGACTGCCAAGGTTGGTCATGTTCAAATTTCAACAAAGACAAATGGTGCACCCCTCAGAAGTGGCACACTGAAAGTTCAGTTTCTAAAAGTACAACAAGRCAAAGATCATGAATTTGGGGTATTGAGAAAAGATTTGAAGACGTAGCTTTTGCAAAGATGCAGCCCAAGATAGAGTGTAGTTACGGAAGAATATCAATGCAAACAATTTCAAGTGCCTCAAAACAGGAATGGACAATGAAAGTGGTCATAATGATGATGATGAACAAATTATTCTTCACCAAGTAACATTTAGCTAAAATTTATCTGAAACCAGTACAAGAAGAAAACAAAGACCATGATAGAGTATAGTTATGGGAGAATATTCATGCAAACAATTTCAAGTGCCTCAAATCAGCATTGGTCATAATGATGATAATGAATAAATTATTCTTCAACAAGTAACATTTAGCTGAACTTTATCTGAAACCAGTACAAGTTAATATTAGTTAATATTCATGTTAGACACTGCTAAGCAAACCCTTATGAATGGGAGTCCTGGTTGGGATTGGGCAGTAAGTGTGGGTTTCTGGCGGGTGTCACTATTGGTTTGTAGGATCTAGGTTTTGCCTTAGTGTTGCAGTGTGGTTTTTTATTGTTTTAGCTGGGTCACAAGGATTATTCTTGTTTGGGGTGGTTTTCCTTTTGAGGCTTGGGGTTTCTTTGCTTGGTTCTCTGGATTTTGCTTCCCCTCGGGTGATTGCTTATCACCTTCCTTGTAATTGCTTCTTTGATTTAATAAAATTTATTTTATTTTATCTTCAAAAAAAAGCAAACCCTTTATGGTGCCATTGAAAACTCAGGAAAAAGAAAATCTAAATAGAATTGCAGAAGAGGCACTGAGTCACTGACTCATGCCATGCCATGAAACTAAGATTTGGAGAATTAAGACTAAAAATAATAGCAATCTTTTCAGACAGGTTAGAGTTACTTCTGATTGAACTTCTAAAAAAACACTAAATGAACAACGGGAAACATGTAATATAATCATCCAAGCATCCTAATATACCTTCATAAACTTTGCTCCTCCAAAGAACTCTTCCTGTTTCAGACGTGAAGTCCTCACATAACGGGAAACATAGGTTGCTTTTCCATCTTTGATACGCATACCATGAATCATTCTGAATGGTTAGGAAATTATCAGAGGTCATTAGTTGGCTTACAGAATTACAACATGGCTTCAGGGTTTTCTCTGAAGTTCAGTTCAGAGATGGTAAAAGGACACTATGATCAAGAAAAGCATAAAATAAATGTATCTCAGTAAACCGGGGAGTGAAGAGTGGATTAGAAATACATGTAACCAAGTGCCAAATCAAATGGTAGAACATGATAACCATCTTATCATGCCTTTTAAATCAGACAAATCAAATTTTCAAAAAAAATGAACTTAACAAAAATTTCCTTCTCAGTTGTGAAAGAAAGAAGAAATTACACACCCATCTCCATCAAACCTGCATACAGATGACAAATACAAACCATCAGAGAAAATAATGACTTTCAGAATCAAGGTAGGAAACAAATATAAGTTCTAAACCATATTTTCTGTTCTTTTCTTTATAACGTTAGATGTTTTTTCCACTTTAAATTGGTCCAAAATAAAGAAGCATACAAACCAATGATATCCAGCCACTGGAGAAAACTTTGGATTGGGACCAACCCTCACAAACTCCCCATTTAAGCACTCCTGTAATGCAAAACTCTCCACTTTATGCCATGCCATTGCAAAGACAAAGAAAAGCACAGCTCGAATTTCAAATTATCAACTATTTAGCTTCATCTGAATGAAATAAAGAATATTACAGTGTTTTTTTTTTTCCTTTTCTTATAGAGGACCCAAAGAACAAGGACAGACGGAAAAGTTTCAATATTGGGGCTTCTTCCTTTTTATACCGTTGGGTGTGCACCTATGCAGAGTGTAATATCTAATACTTTCTCTCATTATGGACAAGGAATTACATATTTTCATCCAAATGACAGGAGTTGTAAAGTTAAGGCCTGACAAAACCATGAATGCCAAGAAGCAATGACAGAAGGCTCTCAAGAAAATAATCTTCTCTTAATTAGCTCAACATGACGAGAGCGGTCGAAGAACATAATACATCAAATAAATATTTCAAAACAATAGAGCAACTACCAATGCCTTCAGTATATCCATGCTTCTCCAAGAAAGAAGAACCATGAAATTTTAAATTCTTCCCCTTTACAGGAAAATTTTGAGCAAAACAGTTTAAATATAATGAACACATCTGAACAGTTTTCTTCTTATTATTTTTCTCATTAGAGAAAGCCAAAATCCCAATAACAAACCTAAATAAACTGAACTCATCTGATGAAAGAGCAATTCATTTTCGGAAGCTGACAATTTTAAGTTAAACAGCATCTGAATTAATAAAATAAATAAATAAATAAAAATAATATAGTCATACCAAGTACACAACATGACAATTTAATAATTTACAGAATCTCCCTACTCGTGAGTTCAGATATTCAAACAGACACAATTAAAAATAAATATATCATTCTATTTAGAGAGGCGAAGAAGAACGTCATCACATCACAAAGTAATAAAACAACAACAACAAAACAGAGTCAGAGTATATCTATAGATCCATCTCACCGGAAGATATCCTTTAACAGGCAGATTCTTGCAAGGCGGAGTCTCATCAACCGGAGAAAAATTCCCGGATAAGTAGTGGTAAGGCTTCGAAGCGTCGTACATTAACTTCACGATCAACTTCTCCACCAAGTCGACAAATCGCGAAGCGATTCCCTTCCTCGGCTTCGGGTCCACGTATACAATCTCTCCTCCATATGAGCTCTTCTTCTCACTCTCCGCCATTGCAGAGCTCTCTCTCTCTCTCTCTGAGACTAGTCCTTGCAGTAACCGCCAAAAACGAAAATATACATAAGTTGGTGGTGATACTGTGACAGACGACCGATAATTCACCATGAATCCATGATACCATTTCAGTGGGTGGACACTACGGATTAAGGTATACGGTGTCAGTGGTCGCAGCAGTCCATCCAATGAGACGTGGACACGCCAGCGATTGGAAACATTACGTGTCGCATGAATTCTCTGACAATCATAGAAATCTCCCCTGTAATTTTAATTTAATAAAAACTTCCCACGAACTTTTAAAGAACTCAATAAAAATCCCCCTTTCGTCATTGATTTGGACGGAAAACCAATAAAATTACAAAAATACCCCTAATTAATTGTCAGAGTATCATTAAAATATTTTAAACTACTAGAATTGCCTCTGCTTCCCCTTCCTCTTGATGAAGAAGGGAACGGCGTGAAATCCTTGTCCCCCCTTTTCCATCGAGTAAGAGAAACCAAAAGGCACTGTTCATCTTCTTCGCAGAAGCAGTGAACAGAGTTTCAACAACAAGCAGCGGCGACCTCCTTGAAGCTCTCTCATTCTCTTATTTTCTCTATGCTCCTCTTCTCTCCCCTCTCCCCCTTTTTTTTCTTTGTTTTTTCTCTCTCCTTCTCTTTCTCTTCTTGCCCATCTTTTGTTTCTTCTCTTCTTTTAACCGCCGCTGCAACTCTCAACAGCGGTGGTCTCAGGTCTACTGGTCTGCTTTCTCCTCACCGCTTCTCTCTTCAACTCTTGGACTGATTTATTGAAGACCGAATACCCCAAACAGAACTTGTGGGAAGGCACGACCGCACGAGGGCGAACTCCAACTAGTTCTCAGTCGGTGTATCTCCATGATTCCCATGAACATGGAGGTTGCTGCTGATACAACACGGACCAACTTCTTGCATGTTTGGGGTATCTCCATTAAAGGAGAATGGATAACGACTACAACACTTACCATGTATGCAACCCATGATCTGAGAATTAAAAACACAGAATGCAACTTTTGAGGGAATCCTTAAAAGGAAATGCAATGGTTTCAGATCAAGGTGGGAGCAGGAAAATGGGCTTTTACAGAAAGCAACATTGTGGAATTAATGGAAGTTCTTTTTGAACAGAATTTCTGCTTTGGGACGGGACTTGGACATAATTAAGAACGAAATAGAGAAGAAGTGAAATTACGCAATAAAAGAATCCATAACCAGCCCAATGTCTAAAACGTTGGTTGCTTCATTGTGGTGAGGAGGAGCATCAATGGGGACAATTTTGGTGGGACTGGGTTTCTTCATTTCGAACTTGACCGAGAGAGGCAGAGTTTTCTTCTCTGCCCACAAGTCACTGTTCTAGTGGTTTCATGTCATCAGGGTCGAGGACTCGGCCTTAGATTCCCATGCAATACAGACCATCTAAAAATGGTAAAATATGTATTTTAAAAAATAATGTATCAGTCAAATATTTTGTGTGGCTTAATAAGGGAAGGGAGGTTTGTGTTGAGTTTTCCAAAAGTTCAGATAAGCTTTTTGTTAATGTCAAACTTGAAGGTAGGTTTTTATGATTGTCAGAAACCTCAAGGGAGGATTTTGTATTTTACCCTAAAACTCTTTGTTGCTTTCCAAATTCCAAGGTTGGGATTTGGTTTGGTAGATATAAGAGTGGAGGAAGTTGAGAGAGTTGAATTTTGTAGGGAATGGAAAGCAATTGGGATAGTTCTCAATAGGGGTGGATTCGAGACGAGCCAAGCGGAATAGTACTAGGCTCGAGACTATTCTACAAGTCTCAAGCTCGAGCTTGAGCTCGGCTCGAGTCAAAAGTTCACTTGAGCTAGGCTCGACTCGAGTTCAATTTTGAGAAAAAAATATTTTATAAAAATAAAAATTATATATAAAAAATATATTTTATATTTAAAAAATTAAGAATTATAATAATTAATAAATATAATATTTTTATTATATATATATTGTTTTCTATAATTTTATTATATATATATTCGAGCCGGCTCGCGAGCCTCACGAGCCGAGCTCTAGTAGGCTCGAGCTCAGCTCGTTTAATAATCGAGTCACTGAATTGGGCTCGAGCTCGATTAAAACCGAGTCGAGCCAAGCTTTTTACGAGTCGAGCTCGAGCAGCTCGTCTATTTATTAAATAATCAATAACAATACTTTTAATAACATTTTTAATTATTTTTAATATAACAATAATTACTAAATTTATTAACAATATTTATTAATAAAAATATTTATAATTTTAATTTAAAGTAACATTAAAGTAAATAACTATTTATTAACAATATTTATAATAACAATAATTATTAATTATAATCACTAATTACATATTTATTAAGTTACTGTCATAATCAATAATTTATAACAATATTTATAATTTTAAAGTAAATATCTAGTTATTAACAATATTTATAATAACAGTAATTATTAATTATAATCACTAATTATATATTTATTAAATTACTGTAATAATCAGTAATTACTATTATAATAATAACAGTAGTTAATAACAATAATTACTGTTATTGTAATTAATAGGATAAGGGTGCTCCACGTGAGAATTTACTCGCACAATAAATTCCATTTACTAGATGAAGAGAGCATCCCAATCCTATTAATATAAATATAGATATAGATATAAATATATAAGATATGTCATATAAGCCTTTTTCTACATGGGGCTAGACCATAGGGTAGTTCATCCCTAACCTTGATGGCGATGAAATTTAATCCCATCCACGATATTTTCACACTAACGAATACCTTCTAAAATAGCACAATTTGGTACCTATAAACACGGTTGACCCATATGTCATATATAAATACAATAAATAAATAAATGTTTGTATGTATGTATTGTATAAGTTTGATTATAAAATAAAATAAAGTTTTAAGTTTTAAAACATAAATTTTTATGTGCAACCTCGAATTCCTCAACCTAGGATAGGACCAGGCTTGGGCAGCCCTAAAGACCGTTCATACCCTGTATAATCCTAACCTAGCCCCTACACTTCTTCTTACAATAATTGCCAAAGCCAACTGTTTCTGGGTCGGATCATTGACCTGAAAAACAATGGCCTGGCCAGTTCCCAGTCATTGATTAAATCCACACTTTTTCTGGAGTGGAATTTAGAATTATGAGGTGAAGTTAGCAGGAGCAAGTGGCCTTAACGTCAACACGCATGGCTCCGGTAATGTTACGTGGAGTTTGGAAATGCGTACGTTAGTAGTGGCGTTGTCACTTGTCACATCGCACTTGATCTAGACAATGACAGTGTGGAGTGTGGAGTGTGGACACCATGTCTAACGCAAATTGGAAATCGTTACTCGTTATATTTGTTTGGAGCTAGTGAACCAGAGATAAGTCCAATAATGCCTTCATCAAAGGATAAAATTTACGGTAAAATACAAAAACTTTCGCTCAAGTTTATGACAACAATAAAAACTTCTCCTCTAGTTTAATTTTAGCAAAATCCTCGCTTATATTTAAAAAAAAAAAATCAACAAAAACCTTCTTTCTGTTAATGAATTGACGGAAAACGTTAAACTGAAATACCTATCTTTACTAAAATACCCTTTGCCCTCTCCAACCAACAAAGAAAGAAAGTCGCCCTAATTCCTTCCTGTCCTCTTCTCCGTCTCATTATATCATCTTCTTTTTTTATCTCCTCTGCTCTCCACTCTGTCCTGTTTATCTTTTCCTCCCAAATGGATCAAAACAACTCATCCGCAGTCAAAACAGTTTTCCCTGTACTGATCAATATCATCTTCATGATGCTCAGAACCTTGGCACAAGAAACTCGACCAGCAGACCCACAGTTCGATGCTTGTGCACCTAGAAACTGTGGCAAGGGCCCAAATATAAGCTACCCGTTTTGGATTCCTTCTCCCCAGAAATCCTACTGCGGCCTTCCAAGATCTGAGGTCACCTGCCAAAATAGCGATCCCGTCCTTAAGATGCCAGATGACGATTACCTCATCCAAGGGATCTTCTACTCAAACAATTCATTCTAGGTGGTGAACACCAGGGCATTGAACAACGAATCCTGTCCGGCCCCTCCCCACAATTTTACCCTCAACAGCACTCCCTTTGAATTTGGCGATAATCACTAAATCTCTTCTTCTACTACAACTACTCCAATTCCCCTCCTGCAAATCACTTGGTATACCCAGTGACTTGTGCTAGCCATCACTCCTTCACAATGTTTCTGTATGATGGGCAGTTTGGCTTGAATCTTTCTTTAGCGACGTGGACATGCCAGTCAGTTGTTAGTGCACCCATAGACGCAACACGTATTCCATTTAATGAGCAAAAGAACTATAGGGAGTTTTTGAAGGAGGGATTTCTTTTGCAATGGGGTCCAAGTAATTGCATCAGCTGTTGTGGGCTCTATAATAAAAAATTTGTATGCTTTTGCCATGATGGGCGGCATCGCTTATGCTGCAATGATGATGGTAAGCCAAATGATCATCCATGTGCTCTTCAAATTTCTTCCCTGGTTCCTTTTAACAGTTCTTTACCAATTTAGGCTTGGAGGAAGAACAGAGAACAACATGGTCTCTGTGTTCTTCTCTGCGTCTCTTAATTTTTACCATATATTTTTCCATCTTGTACCTAGGAAAACTGAATTGTGAAATAGGAAGCTCAATTTCCAGTGATCAAATTCGAAGTGGAAGTTAGTTATGTAGTGCTTGGTTTGAAATAAAAGGTAGGAAAAGGTAGGGAAGCGAGAAGCCTATAGGACGAACGGTGTTTGTACAGGTTTTCCTCCCTTTCCCTTACGTCCCTACCTTCTCTCAAACCAAACACAAACACAGTAGAATTATATTCCAATCTTGGAAGCTGCTTGCTTAATTGCCTACTGGCTTACTTCGTCAATCGGTTCAGAAGGAGGGATCAGACCGCTATTATAAGACTAATTTTCTCATGTCCACCGATAAAGGGGGAGAGTACGAGCTCGTCTACTTCAGAAAGCTTAATCACGGACTGAACAAAGTAAACAAGTTTTACCAGTCCAGAGTGGAGAATCGGCCAGCACGATGCAACACGGCTGTCGTCCAGTGAAGAATCGT